AATAACCGGTAAACAGTATACTCCTTTGGACGTTTCGGCGATATTCGCGTTGAACTAGTTTCCAGATAGAATGACCAGAGAACGTCGATGCTTCCTGGCCAGTTAATGCTACACGAATTAATTTGCTACCCTATTTTTATGGGAATGCTTGTTTACCGAAAGCGATGCACGTACACTCGCGATTAAATGAGGTTTCCCTAGGGAAAATCATAGAGCAAGCTGGAATTCTCAAAATTCTAATTTTTACGATATTAAATTTTCTACTGTAAATAATTGAAATTCAAAAGAATTATTGAGAATAAAAGAAAATGCAACTGCACTAGCAAATCATTTTGAAATAAATAAACTATCTTAAGTCTTTAATTAAAATATGCGCCTTTTCGTTTTGGTAGGAACCCTTAGAATAGACAAATACTTTCTCGTTCCAGTGTATATGTGCATAATATGTATATACGTGGAGGCGGGATGGTCGCAGCTGTTGCAACGCTAAGCCGAAGCAAGTATGCGCCGCGAACTATGCACCTAATGGAGGCAATTTACTGGTAGCTCCTGTGCCGTAATTAGTAATGGTGTTTGGTCACACGCGCTTCCAGCTGCTGGAAGAATATTCCAGCGACCTGTTCACGTTATTTTATAACGACCAGAGCCGCGTCCCAATTAAGTGCGATCGTATTTCCATAATCGCTAATTAACCCAAAATCGCAAGCTGCTTAACGAACCGTTCCGGCTACCAACCCTCGTCTACCCTCCTACCCTTTTTAAACCTTGTTGCTGATCACTTTTACATCGCGACGCTTCGAACAACCTAACAAATTATTAATTAAACGATTGCATCGGTAATAACGAGGCACAAGAGGGTTGTGTATAAATAACGTGGATACCGAAGTTCGATGCGGTCGATAACTGTTAGGGTTACGAGTACTCGAATAATTCGATACTTGGTCGTTTCGTGGATGCTCGAGTGTTACGGGTAAACTTTCAGCCCGCAACGAACCGGATATTATTGCTTCAATGCGGAAACATTCGCACCATTTGAACAACACCTCGATGCCTCTGTTGTGGTTTACCGCTAAATTGGTTTTCTGATATGAATCACAAACGATTTCATAAAAATCTATATTGTATTTGTTCTAATTATTTTATTAAACTTGAAATTGCAATACTCACTGCGCTGACGTCACGAGTGATACTATAATTGAATTCAATATAATTGAATAATTGAAAGAAATATAGATCTGGGAATTTAATTAAAAAATTTCATATTTTCTTAATTGTAATTTCAAGTTTGAATAGTCTAATTCTTCTTTTTGTTCCTATAAAAAGTATTCATTTGTAAGCTATGATTGTGCATATGATTAAATAAATCAAATGCTGACTGTTTAATGTGACCGCATTTCCCTGTGAAATAAAGCACCGCAGCTGTTCGCAGGGTGATTCAAAAATCGTCGTGATAAATCAAACAGCGAAGACGATCGCAAGAAAGCCACCCCTTGCTTCCCTTGTTCTTGCGCCTTCTTGCGACCACGGAATCGTGCTTCAGCAGTCGTTGCTCAAAAATGCCCGACAACGGGATGCCATTTCGTTAAATTTACGAGCGCGAAGCAACGAGCTGCTGGCCAACCGTAATGCGACTTTTGGTCCACGCGTTGACGAAGTGACTAGCAAAGAAAAACCGTACACATATAATGTAAAGTACAAAAGTTTTCCATGTTGACCAGCTTTATATAATCCGTGACATATTTTTTCGCAACGAAAAAATATTTCATTAATATTTGCAATACAAAACCGCCGGGTTATTTATAAAAGAGCCACGTTGACTTTGAAAAACTAATCAGAACACTTCTAAAAGGAGACAGCTGGAAATTTAATATAACATTAACTTAATAAATTTTAATTAATAGAAACTTCCAAAGTGAACCGTGTTGTCGACTCGTATAAGCAATTAGCAAATTCGTGGTTTTGGAAATTAATACAGTTACTAATTAAAGTTTGCGTCGCTAACTAACAAATGGAATATACACGCGAATTCACGTTTTTCTCAACTGATAATTTAACTGAAAAATGTTACATTCGACCCTATGATTACCCGATTCGAATAGAACAAAAAATTTGTAATCACGCACCCATCTCTAATTCAAAGACAAACAAGAATTTCCTAATTTTCTCTGAACGAATCACGAATAGGATAAAAATGGTAATACCTTATCAAGTAATGCTGTGCTGGTCGCAAAAAAGGAGATAAAAGACGTATCGCGCTCATCAGGGCGCGGCGTCGAAGCGATTCTTTGTAAACCCAGCGTGAAATAAAGCGCGACAATAGGACAACGGTAGCGTGACGCAAAACTATTCGTGTACCGCGTGCCAGTTGAACGAACGAGCACACGCACAGTCAACTAAATTGCTCCTTTTTGTTCGAAATAAAAAAAAAAAAAAACTCCGCCGGAGATAGAAGACCGGGGGTGAATTACTACGTTGTCGCCCAACTTCATTCTTGTGCCTTTCTGATTCAATCTTGTCGTTAGATTGCTCGAGGTCCAATTCTATTCAGTGTTGGATGAAAGTTATTTCGAATAACATATTTATTACTTAGAATTTCCAAATAAAAAGATAAATAACTTTGTCCAAGTTTTGTGGTAGAGCTTTTTCGAAAAGATATATATAAATTAAAGGGGTTGATATTGAAAAGTTCTGAGCCGCGTAAAGTATTCGCGATGAAACGAAGAGAGTTGGGCTAACTTTCTTAATACCCTTACTACGAAATGCTCGGAGGTGTTGGAAAGTTTTGAAAACACAATAAACAAATATTTTGTGTTCAATTTCTGGCCGTTGTTTCGAACCAAGTAAAAAGTACTTATATATTTTTCTTTCTGAAATAAAACTTAGAATGCCCAGTTCTTTGTTTCAATTTCAAGTAATGGTCTTTTATATAAAACAGTTTCTATACTTCAAATTTTAACGCTTTGAGAAAGGTACGATTGGTTTTAATAACTTCTCATTTCTACAGAGATGAAAGAACTTTTTATTTGAATTGTGCGACGATTTGAAAACGCAGAGGGAAAAATTTCTGTGAAGTTTTCAAATAGGGGACTCGTTTGTGAAGTTCAGAAAATTTGATTCTTTCGATAAGACAGTGAATTACAAGTTGGCTGGACGAACTTCTTTTTTCGTGTTTGTCTTTATTTTCGGTCAATGTTTCTTTAATCTTCTTCAAATGAACGTACAGTTTACTTTGATGAGAAACTGGTAATCTTGAAGAATGTTTGCAAGGAAAATGCGGAACGTTGTATATTTAACGTTCTCGTGATTATTTAGTAGTTTTGAAAGGGATTTAGAATGCCTTTTACGTAAAACGATTCTCGATTCAGAATGGTCAAAGAAGTTTAGTCAACTTCGAAAACGTATACTTTAAATAAGTCGAATAAATAGATACAAGCAAAACAGATAGAAATGGTCGTTTAAAAATACGCTTGCTAAACTCTCGTTTTAAACTACTTTTCTGTAGACCGTCGTTCTATTTCCAAACTCTCTCTATCTCTCTCTCTTTCTTACCATTCCTGTACTGCCTCTTATTTACTTTCACATACATACGTACACCACTTGACCCACCTGACGTACGCACGCACCTCTTCAATTCTTATTCTCTAAATATTACATTCGTACCTCGAAACTTCTTTTCACTCTGTTATTGGGTCTGTGGAATTTTGATTCACTACTGAGCTTAAAAATCAGAAGGCATTAACCCTTACAAAGAAAAGGTTTCATTTAATATTTAAAGGAACCATGTAAAATTTAAGAAATAAAAATAATGTAAAATAAAAAATTAAATTACACTGTTTTCAAACTAATCGTATTGAAACAGGAAACAGGAGGAAACGAAACGGAAAGCATCGTGTTACACAAAGTGAAAGGGTAGTAAAGGGGTAAAATGTCTGATAGCGAGGTAATGCACGCACACGGTCGAAAATTGGGCCGAAACGTTCAGAAATAAAGGGACAAAGTTTCGCGATTGCTCCTTTTTATCGGACAATTAAATTCTGCCATGACCGAAAATACCCTGACCGAGGAGGAGGCGTGCACGTGAATTTCCGGAAATGCTTGGCAAACCTCGTAAACTCGAGCAACCGTTACAGTTGCCAGGCAAATCCAAATTTTACGCTCGATAAACGGCCGATCGTCTTTCAACGCGAATCAGTCGATACCTGTATCGAAGTCAGCGACACGAGAAGGATAGGGGTCGAAGAGAAGAGGGTGAAAAGAGTTCAAAAGAGCAACAGACGCAAAAGGGATCGAGCTTAAATCTACCTGTTCCCATCCCGGAACGATTGAACCGTGAATCGATCGGAACGGTTTTAATTGGTAGTTCGTTTCAAATTGCCAACAGTAGAAAGCGAGCGAGAAAAAAAGGCAAATAATAAAAAAGAAAAAGAAAGGAAAGAGAGAGAGAGAGAAGAATCCAGATTAATTCCTTTCCGTGAGAAGGTAAACGGATAGCCATTTACCAAAGAGGGTAGGCGTTAGCTGCCGATCGTGCCGACGGTTATTTTCATTTTAATCGACTTAAAAGAGCGAAACGACGGGACAGCTAACGTAACCGGTGGGTCCGGGTTAAAATAACACGAGAATACCGTTTGGGTCCGGACACTTTAATTCGACTCTTGAACGTCCCATTCGCGGCGCAGTCTTTTAATAAAGTGCAAATCTTGCGTCATTGAACGTAGTTACCTTCTCCTTTACGGGGGTTTATGGGGTATATCGCGCAGGACAGAGACGCTATTACACCCTTCTCGGGGATGGTATTCTTATTGTGCTACTCCAATTGTCTTTCTTGCCCGGTTATCGTCTGCTGCTTCTCATTCCGTAATCGTCAACCCCCCTTACCCTTTATACCCAGCAGACTTTTGTTTAAATTAAACACGTCGTATACTCGATGTTCCTTTCCGGTAAAAAATATCTAACAGGATGAATAGACGCATAGATAATACGTATGTATATGATCCTACCTTTTCCATCGCCCAGCTCCTTTGCCCGTTGCACAGCAAGAATCACAGGGGATGCGTAGACCATCCACCAAACCGTGAACAGCAACATCGTCATCACTTTAGCTGTATCGTGTTCACTATATTCCCTGATTAATCCTACTGGATGCTCGCCTTTTTATTGTCTCCCGTTCGGCCGCGTTTTATTTTCACTCCTCTCTCGACGCGAACCGTGGCACGGATCGTTTGATACTAATGTTCGCAGTAGGACGCTCGAAATTTTCACGCGAATGTAAACAGAACGCGAGCGTTTAATCCCTGTACACAAATAATACGCGAGAGCCCATCGGCGTAGAGAGAGGAAGGAAGAAATAGACAGGCGAGCATCGAACGTAAATATTCTGGCCAATGCCAAACAAATGGTCACAGATTTTACCTAACGGCCATTCGCGGCTTAATTGTATTTTACGATTCGCGTTTCGCGAAATTCCCGAGGATGTACACCAAGACGATTCGCGACGAAGAACACACTCGAAGAGACACTAACATACGTTTTATGAACGCTCTTTTTATTTATTCCACTTCAGGATGAACCGGTAGAAACGTGAGAACGACACAAGGAATTCTTTCAAGGAACGCCCGGTAAATACGTCACTGACCCCGACGGTTCTTTGAACAATTAATTTCTCGCCACTTCGCGTAAACGGTCGGGTTAATTGGACCGGTTAATTATCGTGTGCCTTTCCTTCGTCCGTGTTCACGAACGAGCGCGAATCGTGACGAGCCGAAATCGCGAGTCGCCGCTGATCACCGAGACGACGCGTGCGTCGTGTACAGAAGTTTTAACGAGACTGGTCCTCAAACGATCGCGCGACCGTCGAATCAGAGCCGACGCGCAATTATTTCCGCGCGCGAATACGCTCTCAAAGGAGAGGCAGATTTTAGAAGAAAAGACGCGCAACACGCGTCAACTAATTCGTTAATGCACCAGCATTGATCTTCCCTGGATCCTCGTTAATCGTATCCCATCGCGTGCGCGGACCAGAAAGAGATTCTTCTCAAAGAGAAAGCAACCAAACGCGATCTTCGATCCACGATCTACGTATGGTTTCCTCTTCGTTAAAAAAAAAAAAAAGGAACCGAAACAAACAAACTGGTAATCCCTGTCGGTGACGGAACTCTGTTTTCACGCGATTGAAGCCGGAAGCACGAGGAAGCGCGTGCAGTTGCACCTGGACCGAAACTGAGCAACGAACACGCGGCCCGCGAACGCGAATGCCCGGCGCGCGAGCCGAGACTGCGCCCTCCAACCTTTCCCCATAATGCACGCACGCCCCTTGTTCCCCTTCGACACCACCGAACCAAATACCACCCTTCTTCACCCCCGTCCGTTCCCACGGTTGCACTCAGTCTCAGCCTCACCCTCTCAGTCAGCTCTCAGTCCCTGTCTTTTTCTCGCCACCTCTACGATCCAGACCGCCGCCCCTGTCTTACCTCGGCCGCAACACCCGCCCCTACAATCCCCTCCTCTTCTTACCAATCTACCCTCGATAATTTCAGATTTCTGCGGCTTGACCGAGATACACCGGCGACCGACGTCGCCTGTTCCGGTTTAAGGCCACCATCCCTCGGCTCGAACTTGAGGATCACGTTGAAAAAGGACCCTACCCGACGACTTTGACGTTCTTAAGAGCAGGATGAATAGTCGAAACGATTTCTGTTCACTGTCTTTCTCGGCTTGGGGGAAAACGGGTCTTTCTGGGTTCATGGGGAAAGGATGTCGAGATTGAGAGGCGTGGATTGCGGAGATTCTAGAAAATTAATTGTTTGGGGGTTTGGGTATTCTTGATGTGATTCTGGGCATAAGATGAATTATTATTTATCAAGTAGGCGTTTACTCATTTACCCACTATTTAGTGGGTCAAAATTATTTATGAAAAGACTCAGTGCAAATGAATCAACTCGTTTACGTCATTATCAATGAAATCTTAATAACAGATCTTAATCAATTTCGTTCTAGCTAAGAAATCGATTTACTTTCTCTTTCCTCGATGAGAATGGAGTGTCAAAGCAGAAATAGAAAGAAAGGAATAAGCTCACGATTCTATAACTGAAATATCGAATTCCGAAAGATTGAAATATTTAAAAGAAATAATCACGAGGGACGAGCAGTTCGACCAAGAAACGTGGAAAATTCTTCGCTGATTATTCCTTGGCGAAGAATCCGAATAAGTCCGTTACGAGGCTTTTTTCTTCGTTCCTTGCAGTTGGGATATTGGATTCCGAGTTATTGAAATGTCCGTAAGGGCGAGCCAGGTCCCGTTCACCGGCCCCATAATTTTGTTCATTGTGATCCTCCCCCGTACACGCGTTTCGAAAATTTTCCCTCGTTAATCGTCCGCGTAAATCATCCTCGATCACGTTTACCTTCCGTTTTCGTCGACCTCCGCGAACTTTCTTAGTACAACGGGATTATAAGAACAAAAACTATTACCTCGAATAATAAGTTCGTTCACGTTTCTTTACAAGAATATTAACTTCTTTAATGTCTTATAACTTCCTGTCATAGCTTGGAAAATGTATTTAGATTTTCCATCTGCAATTTTTTGCCTTTATTAAAAATTTTAAAATATTGCATTTTTATTTCACTAAACGGATGTTCGGTGTATTATTTAAATAACATTTGTGTTATTTTTGAAATGGAATTTACGTTTCCTTCAGAATTAAAGCGTCGTGGTATAACAAGTATCGTTCGCAGATCCTCGTTTTCACGGTATAGCGAAATTCTTCGTCACGACATTTGTTTGCGAATCGCTGAATGCATTTTACGCTCGTTCCACGGCTGCTCGTCGTGCTTTCTCTCTGTCTGTTCACGATCGACGACGAGATTTATCGTTCGCGCAATTTCCCCGTGGACGAGGGCAAGCAAGGCTCGTCGGTCTTTCTTTCTGGTCCGTGTGTACACGCTCGTTCCCTTCTTTGACGAAAGGCACGGAATTTTTCTGGATTTCGAGAGAGAACTGCCTCGGTCGAGATATGACCCAGTGAAACCATCCAGAAAGAGGAAACGATTCTTACCCTCAGCCCACGGAATACCTTCTTCGAGACAGTCCAACGTTACCGAACGCGTCTACATCAAATCTTTTGGTTAGATATGTACATAAAATTGAGAAAATTTCCACGTTAAAAAAAAAATGGAATACTAATCAATTAACCCCACTTAAAATTTTATCTATTGCTAACAATTTATTAAGGAAACAGGAATTCTTAAAATCTCAATTTGGACAATATTAATATTAAAAGTGATTTAGAAAGAAAATAATAACTTTTAGTTATTAATTAGCACAGGAATTAAAAATTGAAAGAGAAAGATCCCCTTATTTTAATATACTTAAATTATTCGGGGTAAATCGATTCAGGAAATCGAAACATACGAAGTGACGTCATGGTTTAATCCATCTTTTCATAGATATTCCCCGAGATCAAAGACGTATTGGTCTAGGGAAGCATTGGGTCTGAGCATGAACCACGATAAATCCAACGTTCCACGAATGCTCGGATCGACCATAAATCGAGATCGACCATCTATGTGACCGGCTTTCTGAATATGAAACGTTAAACGTACATACGTGGAAATACGTGCTCGTCTTTAATACATGGCCCATCGTGGCATCGGTAACATGTTTATGACACCGGCTTGCCAGGTACTAATCCATGAATCTCGATATATGAAGTGTACTTACTCTGAAAATTATCAGTACCTATAGTAAAGTGAGAACGATCGACCAAGTCACGTTTTAACTTTCGTGGAACAATCGAATCGAACGGTATTACGTTTACGGTAGACGAGAGATGAGATTTATCGACTATCAAATCGTTTTCGACGAATCTAGGACACTTCTGTTTGTTCCAGCGAGCTTATCAATCGAGCATAAGCGAAGCATGAAAAAGAGTAAAATGCTAGAGAATCCGTTCAACCGGTATAATTATGAAGCGACGTAGATAGAATGCATTTGCACTGATTGCGACTTTCGAATCTATCAGTTGAATCGCGAGATTGAAAATACCGGGGCAACATTTAAAATATATTTTTCGTTAATTAAACGGGATTGGAGGACTTTTAATCCTCTGATGAAAGGATCGCCGAAACAGCGACGAATTTCCATTCCATTTTAAATACGTGAGAAATCTCTCATCACATTATCTCGCGTCTATGATAAGTCACATTGAAGCTTTAGTTATTCATTTTTTAAATTATGCCTACATCTTCTCTTATTACCAGGTGTGTTTCTGTCGAAAAAGGTATCCCGGTTCCCTGGAACGTTCAGGCGAAACGGGATCCTTTCGTTAATCCACGTTGTTGGTGTACGTTTCTAAAGTTACAACGTGCAATTTATTCCGACCTCGCGGCCCATCAATTTTTCCAGAGAATAAACGCTGAAATTTGCAGAAGTTTCCCGAGCAATCGGAGGATCCAAGGGGTATCTCCGGGAGATCTTCAATTTCGTTCGTCGATATATATATATATATTCGACGGTTTCGAGAACTTGCAGTATATCGTAAACGACAGAAAGAGAATGCCTCGTCCCTTTGAAAGCCTTCACCTTTTTTTCCCATTTTCTGTTTCGAACGATCACACAGCGTTCGCGTTGAAATACCTAACCGTGCGCATAACCAACAGAGAGGAAAAGCGATGAGATATTATCGTATTTAAATTTTCTCCAAAGAGATAGGAAACATGAAAAAAAATAGAAAATTCTAATTACACAAATGTTATACCCGAATAATGTTAATGGATTCTTTTTAGAGCGCACCGCAGTGAAAGGGTTAATAAGCTGCACAGATCATAATAGTCGGCGAGGATTACCAATCCGAGTTCCAAAGAAAACGTTCTCATTACTTTTGGATCAGACTACCGTAAAAGGCCATTAGCAGCAAGCGAATTCAGTTTGCTTTTCGCGTTTGAAGCGAAACTGGCGAACTCTACGTTTCATTGTAACTCGTCGTGTCTGTGAATGCAACTACGGAACCTGATTTGCCCTCCGGCACGGCCGAGAAGGCACGCTGCTCGTCCGAGCAAAGTGTAATGCCAATAATTTGGGCCGAAATGGAAGAAGGACTGGGCCGAAAAGGGGTACAGAGCGTCATTAAGCGTGTTCGCGAGTGAACCGCGAGGCATAACGCAATTGCTCGATCGTAATTGAAATCGCATTAATCGGGAACCTTAAACCGGCAACCCTTAACGTGGAGGCCACTCGTGACCGTTCACTCGTTATAATTTGCTTCTGATGCGTTAAACGGACCGTGGCACCGGTCACCGGCTACGATGCACCACCGATTCCACCTCCGTAATCGATATTCGCGATCTGGGACTCGATATGCATGATTGCCACGATACTGGGTGACTCTGATTAAGATGACCATTCGTACACTTTATTTGGTACACTCTTAAATGATTTATTATAAAAATATGGCTCGTAACTGGTGGTACAAAGGTACAGGACGATTCTACGAGAAAATTAAATAATTACTCTAAACAGATGTGTTAAATTTTGTATTCCTGATGAAGATCTCTATTATAATACGACTGATTGGAGAAAAAAAAATAATAAGCAGAAAATTTTTTGTCGATACACTGAGTATAACGTGCACGGGTTGACGATTCGGCAGCCGGTCGGCGCTTCGTTCCGGCGTTTTCAAACAGACTGTAAAATAAATTCGATTAGCTCTGCGAATCGGCCGGTCACGTACACGCCGCGTCGAATCCGTCACGATTGATAGCGGCGGGGAAATGGCCGTGTCACGGGCCAAAAAATGATTGATTACGCCGGCCATGCATTATTGTTGCGCGTCCCGATGCCAGTTACGATATGCGTTCCATTAAACGAGACGTTGCGAAAGAATTAACGTGCACCCCTCTCCGATCGTAGTCATCGCATCGGACAACCGTTTCCCTTTCCGTTTCCGCTTAAGTTTTCACTGTCAAATCATTTCCACACTTTTCTCTTTCTCGAGTTTACTTATTTACACTGAATTTCAACGAGCACAGAGAAACATGGAAAGTTGCGAATCTCGCGATCGAGAAACAGGATAGAAATGAAAGACGAAGTGGTTTGATATATCTTTTCGGTTGTTTATCCGGCAAGTATCTTTAATGAAACTTTGAATTTCATTCCTTTGCTGAAACGCAGGAACTCATATAAATCCCATGGTTGCGATAAATAAGATTCGCTGACTGGATTATTTACGTTTTATGTGCATCTACCTTGGGAAACTTGTATATCTCTCTTAAATTCGTTGCCTCAATTATTTCGTCCCTTTTTGAAAATATAAAATAATTCTTAATTTCAAACGATTTTAGAAGGTTCGATGGTTCAGCTGTATCGAGGGGTAGTATAATACGCCTCGTTAAATTTACGAATGTTTTCGAAAGCGATTTCTCCTTCAGGAAGTGGGACATTATCGACATGGTGCTACGTTATTCCATAAGGGCAGAAATAGGTCAGGGATAAACAAGCATTAAAGAGAAGAATAAAATATGGCCGGTGCGCTCAGGTGTAAAGCGAGGCCAACATCGGTAAATCGTGGCTAGAGTCGTTGAGGGGGGTTAAAATTGGAAGAGGGGGATAGGATGATCGGAGGGAACCAAGGAAACGGTGAAATAATTAATAAGCAACTGAAGGGCTCTCGGGGTTCTCGCATACCCGCAACACTGCAGCCTCAAATTACATCAGGGAAATGTTGGTGCAGCAAGAAATTGGAAGGAACCATCCAGGCTCACGGGTCGCTACTAAGCCGACAGTGAATTAAAGTGGTTACCAGAAAACTTGCAATTCAATCTTATAGCTCGTTGGCCTCGAAAGCTCGATAAATATGACAACAGCAATATCACGTTCAAACAAAGGGGCTGTTTCGTTTTAATGAATCTTGAGACCGTGAATTTTGTGCCTCCATCGCGGTTAATGCTTAACTCTCTAATTTAATTTTCCTATTTTCTATTCAGAACGAGAACGAAGGCAACTTTAGAGATTTTTTTCAGAACATATTTTGTTTTGTACTTTTGTCTACAGCCTAAGATCTCTGAAACTTCAAGACTCAATTTTGACAACCAACGAACAAGGTTTCTCTGTAAAACATTTCCGCGAAAAGATCCAAACAGATCTTTTGTTGTATTAAATCACGGGACATTAATAACCGTGAGTAGTGGTGGTCATTTACAAAGAGATCGAGTAACGCACAATCGCGAAGCGGCTTGTTCAGCTCATTAAATAAAGATCAGTACAGCTCGTCGGTTTCAATTCTCCGACCGAACTTGGTCTGAGAGGCAGAAACTCCGACTTCTTCCATTAAAAGACATCGTCGTTAATATTCCAAGTCGCGTGAAAAGATTAATGCACGTTTTCTCCTCCAACGAAAGAAAACTTTCCATCGACTTTGTCCCCGAACGCGTCTCTTCGTCTTCGTAACGACGAACGAAGGTCAACTTTCCGAATCACCGGAAACTTAATAATCTTCTTATGGACAGCCACGGACAGCCCCTCTTCACTGTCTAATGCGAACGACTAAGTACTTTCGTCAGGCTAGTTAAACTCCTAATTAGAAGTAACAATTACACTAGCTATCGTGATTCGGAAATTTTTGAATTTCTAAAATTTCTAATTTATTTTCTCCTTTCTTTTTTTAATTATTCGATTATGTTAGATTTTGAGAGAATTCCAAACTTATCAGGGTAAAAATGATAAAAAAAGAAGATCGGTATACAAGTCTAAATACATCTCCTAACCACTGTATTAAACTGTGTCAAAGTGCGTTTACACGTTCAACTACTACTAAAAAAGTCTCGTTTATATTTGATCGGATCTGATAGAAGGAATACCGCAACGGCAACCAGCAGCCGCAAAACTTTTCTCCCCCCATGGTTGAGCGGGAATAATTTGAATAGTCGTCCGAATGACGAGAAACTTTTTCCAGGGCATCGTCGGCCTTCGAATCGACCGCATATCATTATCAGTTCGTTCTACGATCCTTGCTCGTTTTTCTCGGTGATCTTTTTACTGCAAGAAGCGGAGGACGAGGCTGGCCGTCGGACTGAGAGGCAGGCTGATTCCTCGGACGCTCCCAATTGGAAAGAAAATCCGATTTGATTCGTTCCGTCTCTCTTTCTTTAACTGTCCCTAATG